CGGAGGCACGTGATAAGTTGCCTATAGTATACTCCAAAAAATATGCTGTGCGTTTTGGTGGTCTTGAAAAGTTACATCCTTTTGATGCAGCTAAGGGAAAGCACATACAACAGGTACGCTTATATTTATGTACATATGTATGTATGTATATGTAAGTGTAGATAATTTAAAAAGCTCTTAAGTAAATTTTATTTTCAGCTGCTCTGTGCTGAACTGTCGTTGGAATGCGGCGACTTCTATAATCCCCTTGAGATTACCAAGGAGGAATTACTGCGAGTCCACACTCCTAGGTATTTGAGGTCCCTTAAATGGAGCGCTAAGGTGGCTACCATTGCGGAGGTTCCGGTTCTGATATTTGTGCCTAACGTAGCAGTGCAAAGTGGATATCTGCGACCAATGCGCTACCAAACAGCTGGCTCCATTCTGGCTGGCAAACTGGCCTTGGAATATGGTTGGGCGATCAACTTAGGCGGGGGCTTCCACCATTGCTGCTCGTCCAAGGGCGGTGGCTTTTGCCCCTATGCAGACATCACTCTGTTACTTGTGCGCTTGTTTGATTTGGAACCTTCGAGAGTACAAAACGCAATGATTATTGACTTGGATGCGCACCAGGGCAATGGCCATGAGCGGGACTTTAAGGACACTGAGACTGTATACATACTTGATATGTACAATGCCTATATCTATCCAAAGGATAACGAGGCGAAGCTGAGCATTCGTTGCGCTGTTGAATTAAAGCATCTCACCGAAGATGCCTACTACTTAAAGCAACTGAACCGGTGTCTGATGCGAGCACTCTCTGAATTTAAGCCAGATATTGTTGTTTATAATGCCGGCACCGATATTCTCAAAGGCGATCCGCTGGGCAATTTGGCGATTACTCCAGACGGGATTATAGAGCGCGATCGCTTGGTCTTTAGCACATTTCGAGCACTGAATATACCCATTGTTATGTTGCTTAGCGGCGGGTACATGAAATCATCCAAGAATGTTATAGCAGATTCGATAGTCAATTTGAAGAGGCAGGGATGGCTAAAATAATCTACCCTATTTTATGAAAATTTATACAAATGTTGGACACTGTTAGAACGATCACCCACTGGGGATAAACAATGAGCTGTGAGAGATAAGATACTTTTACTAAAATGTCTATTATATTCATAGGCTTCAAATTTGATATACTTGTATGATAAAAACTCAAGTATTCTATTTGAATTAGGTGCTGACTACTATAGTGGTCGGACCAGTTAACTCAATATAGTTGTTTATTGCTATTTATTCTTATATAAAGCAAACGACGACACTTTTAATTGCTTATGCTATAAATACACAATTGTAGCTTATTACGTGTTTTGAAGTACAAAAATGTATATAAATAAATATGTTTTTCGAATACTTAAAGTAAACAATTAGAATATAAATAGTCTATTAGTAAGAGGTTTTGTCTTGGGTATTACTTCATCGTTATAGTTTATTATTATGAAGTAGTTGGTGTTTTTTTAGATTTGTCTTTTATAAGTTAACAAGTGGAGCTTTCCGAATATCCTGCTCCTAACAAGCCGTTGGCATTGGCGGTCTAGAATTGCAATTCAAATAAGGGTAATAAACTTGTTATTTTGAATTGAAAATTGCATGCACAGATGAATGTTCAGTTGTGATGGCGCTCATGTTGCTTTTGCTGCAGGGCCAACTTCAAACACAATCATCAATTAAATAATCTAAAAGTAACATAAGAACGGTGACAAAATAAAAACCAAATTAATTGAATTGATAAACAACATACAAAACAGAGTTTGCTAAGTGAGATATGAGCCAATCCACTTCGCCCCGAAGGCTACTGAGATGTGTCAGATGTGTAATGAGAGGCGCAACGAGAATACTATGCTGATAAACTTACGCCGCATTGCTAGCAGGCAAATCCTCAAAGAGCACTTCCCACCGCGAACTGATAATGTATATCAAACAGAACGAAATTATAAACACCACAATGCCAATGCTTAAAATTGTGACTTCGTGCACATGGGACGGACGCAGGAAGATTCGGGCGCTGAATTGCGACCAAGTTGACTCAGTCCACGTTGAATATTGACCTGATCGCCAATCGTAGTCTGCATTGGAAAAGCAACCGTGTTAGGGACTGGCAGTGCCTAAAAAAGTTCACCACTTACCGTCAATGAGAAACGCAGGACTTAATGCATGTGTATAGTTCTGCGTTGTACGACGACACTCCCCAGTGCCATTCAGACCAGCAAAATAGAACAGTGGCAGTTGAGTGCAATTCTCCTTTGGCACACTCGGCTCTTGGCGCGACAGCAGATAGCCGAAGAGGCGGTACGTCCAACCTGATGATTCTTGTGAGCCACCCAGCACACTTATGTATCTGGATAAGTTTGTGTTTAGTGTTAAGCATTGTGAAGTGTGGGCATGTATACTCACCGCATTGGCGGCAACGGCACACCTGCTGGACTGTTTGGGTATGAGGAGGCTTTGAAAAGTGGACAGTCTGAGGACAGCAGAAAGCAGTAGAAGAATTCATCCGCCAACAGTGGATTGGCCACTTGATTTCCTTGGTACTGTTTATCCGTTAGAGTCTCGTAGAGCGCCATTGCCACTATGGAGGAGACGTTGCGCACCTTCATTTGCAAAGAACTCCAGCTGATGTTTTTGGCATCGTTCACATCAGCCAGCTTTGTGTAATCTTGGCTGGTGTTGGCATAGACATAATCGACATTATCAATATCATCATATATGGAGTGATAGTATCTATTGTTGGGCGCAGCGTTTAAAATCAAAGCCGGGAAATTTTGGTCGCGCCGCAAAAACGATTGCGCTGATGTGGGTGGTATGTTAAGGCCCACGTTTGATTCGATGTTCACATTAAAACCGTATCGGGTTGATTTAGCATACTGGTTAAGCAGTTGCAGCAGTTGCTTAGCGACAGGTGTCGAATTAAGTGTATGCAGCTTAATGTTGCCTATATCGTCGAGTGTTCCAATGTCTAGCATAAACTCGATGTTGTCAAACGAAATGGGCGTCGTGCGTGTGGAGCGGGTAGGAAAGGCCAAGTTTTCCATATCGTAAACGAATCGCTGCGAACCAATGTAGTCATAGGACTCGCCATTGAATGCCAGAAACAGCACATTACGTTTTGGATCAGGCTGCGAGTTCGCCGAAGGCAATAGTTTGTGGAGCATATGCGCCACCTGGGTAAGAACAGCTAGACTCTGCAGCGAATCCATGGCCCCCAACCCTGCAAGTGGGACTGTTAGTAACAAGAACAGAGAATAAGAGACGCTTGCAGCGTTTACCCAGTCCATCGAACATGCTTGTAGTGTCCAGGCGGCACGATACTACAATAAACTTTTCGGTTGCATCAACATCGAAACTTTCAGTTGGAGTGCGTGGGTACAATGTTGCGTACACATTCCGGCCCTCCAAGGGATCGCAATATTTACTACCGCCAAGGTTGTTTATGAAATTCGTCCGCCGCATGCACACTTCAGAGTTAACAGCTGCAGACATAAAGGACTTGATTTCCACAGCGCATAAGCTGCGTAATGAATGCGACTCGTAATCAAAGTTGTTGAATTTGTTAAAGCACTCCTCCAACTTGTCGATTTCCTCAGGATCAGCTATATAGTAAATGGGAAATGGAAAGTCCTCGTGCAGTAGACCAGTGCCCCAGCGATTCCAGGTATTGGCCACATTGCTTGCATCACAGGTGACTGTCTCTGTGCTGTTGTGTAATTTGAGACCACTGTACTGATTGGGACAGTTGAGTTCGTGCGAAAACTGCGTCATTCTTTTTGATCTATTGATTAACAGCACAACAGATATTGTCTTAGGGCCGGCATCTTTGAGGCGTAAAAGGTTTATCCTAGTAAACAAATGTGGTGGTATCATTGGAGCATACGGCGGAGAAGGCGGACTGTTGAGCAAAAATTCCAAATCTGCATCAGTGTTTATCAGGTGCAGTACGCCTACGGATCCTGAAAATGTCGCTGCAATGGCAAAGACATGAGAGATTTTTCTTTCACCAACCGTCCCCGACACAGTGCTTACATGAGCATCCTGTCTGATGGGTGCCGTTCAAGCGTCGGAAACAACTGGCACCCAGAATCGGTTCATACATTTTCTCACGCGTTCGCTCGCCAAGAACTGTGAATAATAAAAGAAAAAATTAGACAGCGGCTTAGGTGAGTCAGCACCCAGACTTTGTTTGAGCATGGGGGTGTCTTAATTGCAGATTTCTTACCACCGGCAGTACTTTGAAGCCATAATAGCAGCCATATCGCAGCTGCTTTCTTCTGCTGTGCCATTAATGGGACCTTTGCAGCTTATGAGCCAATTACCCGGCGGTTATTGGTGATACACAAATGACAACAAGAAAGCTAACATATGTACATACATATGTACAATGTCTGAGCTGAAACGCGTTACTTATCCCAACTGTTGGCTTCCTAAAATCAGAGTTGCACAGCAAAATAAATGACATTCCTTGACTAAATTTATTTATATATGACATGTAAATATCGATACACTGCAACTCGAAAAACATAACCAAGTTTCAATCGATTTTTAATCTAATTTGTTAACTTGCGCTCATCGAGATGGAAGCTATCGATAACTAGTATTTTGAAAAATCGAATCAAAAATTCTGAATATAGTAAAAATTGACATTCATGTTCTATCATCAAATTATGGACTGTTTCTACGATTATACATAAGCCCAATCCCAGGTAAATTAATTTACAAAATACTTTTTCATCTGTTGTTTTTAAAAATACTGTGTAATTATAAATTTATAACTTTTATTACTTTATATTGACAGTCGTCATTTCTGCTTATAATTTTATATTTGCGAGCTAAAGAATTTTAGCTTGTAATTTTTTTTTTTTAATTACACAGGAAACATATATAAGGATTTCTTAGTGGACTTTTCGCTTAACTATACAATATGTAAAAGTTTACTATCTTACATCATATTACCATTAAAATTAGAAGAGTGTATCCTCAGCTCGTATATATTCGCCAATATCAGACTGATGAAAGCAAACAGTCGTCAACGGATCAGCAGTTTTACATTCAGTAGTGGATCGGGCAAGAACACCAAATCCTAGAGCCAAGTCATTCATAGAAAACACAACCACACCCTGATACTGTCCAGCGTTTTCAGTTATTCTGCCCAAGCCAGATTTTGGTATATGATTGCCATAAAGGAACTGTTGCTCAAAGGAAGGTTTGACCCAAACCTTGTACTGTGCATAGGGGGCCAGATAATAAAGCGCCGTAATATGGAACTTTAGTTTATTCGTCTTCGAAAACTTTCCAAAGCAGGTGCCTACGCATACAAGTTGCTTGTAGCCGAAGCACTCACTTAGCTTTAATATGCGTTCAGAGACATAATAAACACGATCTTTGTGCTCACGGAAGCAATAAGTTCCATCCGGCCTATCAATGAGTTGTTGCACGTTTGTTCCGATGCTGAAACGAATGGAAACTTATAACCAACTATTGACTTGCATATAATTTTCTTACTATTTGGCAAGCTTCTCAAAGAGAATCTTTGTACGTTCGTCTGATAATCGCTTCATTCCGTTTTATTATGGGCAAAAGCAAATAACGCGGCACAATAGAAGAAATGTGTTTTGACGAAAATGTGCTAAAAAATACCTAAGCACGTTTTATAGTTTAGTGCTGTGTAAAGCCGAAATTTTACGCTTAGAGCACTGGTATCTGTATATAGTTATATATGTATATATCGAATATCGGCATATATTTTAACTTATGGAAAAAAACCAAATCTATATGCCCCGATATGTACATATGTATGTATGAACAGGAGAATAAAAATCTTTATTAAATTATACACATGTTTTTTTTTTTTTTTTTATTACATTTAAATGGAATTTAATTTTAGGTCTTATATATTGTTTTTCGTAGGAAACTCAAATTGTATGTCAATAAAATTACAATAATGAAACACATACATACATATGTACATATATATTTATTACAAAGCAGAATTTTAGAATTTTTTTTTATACTCATTCACGAAGTGAATTAGTATATTGGTTTTGTGCAATGT